TTTATGTTCAACATTGTAGATAATGGGACTGAGTCCATTTTACTTTGTAAAAAGGAATAGCTCACCTGGCCATTTTGACTGTTATCTGCATCAACAGCCGTCACTGTTTTAATTACTGTTCCTACTAGACTGTTTTCTTTAACATAAATGTTTATCACCTTTTCTGGGAAGTACGGTGCATTGTCATTAACATCAGAAACATAAACAGTGATAACACTGATGTTTGAAAGAGGAGGGCTGCCTTCATCTGTAGCTGAAATGGTTACATTGTACCTAGTAATTACTTCTCTGTCTAAATGTCCATCAACCACTAAAGAATAATAGTTTTTGTAATTTGTCTCAAGTTTGAATGGGACTGTATTTAAGATTTCACATTTCACTTCACCGTTTTTACCACTGTCTTTATCTAATACTGACACAAGTGCAATAGCAGTGCCTAACTCAGCGTCCTCATTCAATGTATTGAGCAGTGACGTCACAGTGATTTCAGGAGCGTTGTCGTTTACGTCAATTACTTCTACTAGCACTTTACTATGAGCAGACATAGGAGGCTGCCCTTTGTCCCTTGCCTCCGCTCGGATCTCAAAAGCTTTTTTTTCTTCATAGTCGATTTTGCCTTTCACAGAAATTATTCCCGTGTCTGGGTCAATTTGAAAAATATCCAGAATATGATCCTGATCCTTATTACGAAGAGAATAAACGATTTCACTATTGGAGCCTTCATCCGCATCGGTCGCATTTAAGGTGAACACCACCGCACCAATCGGGATATTTTCTAACGTTTTAACTTTGTAAAGAGTGTTGCTGAATACGGGGGCGTTATCATTAATATCTAGTACATTTATTTCAATCTCTGATGTGCCTGAATTTGGTGGAGTTCCCCCGTCTACCGCAGTTAACATGAGCCGCATATGTGGCCTTTTCTCACGGTCTAAGGCTTTCTGCAGCACTAACTCTGGAGATAAACTGTCTCCTCTTTTGTGTGTTGCGAGGCTGAAGTATTCATTTGGACTGAGCTTATATGCACAAACACAGTTGTTCCCCACATCAGCATCGCTTGCCTCGGATAACGCAAATCTAAATCCAGGCATTGTGTTCTCTGCGATGTCCAGTATTTGTGATTTAGTGTTGAACGACGGAGAATGATCATTCACATCTTTAATTTCTATCTCTAGGCGGTAAAGCTTTAGTGGGTTGTTTATCACTGCCTCTACACTTACAGTGCATTTCGGTTCATCTGCACAAAGCTCCTCTCGGTCTATTCTTTCATTAACATACAGAAATCCAGTCTTCAGATTTACCTCGAAGTATTTCCTCTTAGATCCTTTAACAATCTGAAACAAACGGGACTCCAAATCCTGCGCATTGAGGTTTAGATCCTTTGCGATATTTCCGACGTGAGTTCCAGTGTTTACCTCCTCTGCTACTGAGTATGAGAGCTGCCCAGACACCGCTTCCCAGTAACAATCCAACAGCACCAGCACCAGATATGTAACAAAATACCTCCTACTCGGTGAAGACATAATTCCGCCGAAATAAAACAAAGCATATATCCACGATGTCGTTTTTTCCGTGAACCACTGAACAGGGACAAGGTTTTAACAAACACACCACGATACTTGTATTTATATAGAAGAAGACTCCATTATGTTCTCCCTTCCCTTCCCGTTTCTCTTTGTGGTGAAAATACAAAGTCATTCCGTTTTTACTCTGGGAGGAGCATCAACAATTCTGTGTTACGGTCTATGGCGTCACTGTGTGGTCACTGTGATGAACTGCACACGCTTTAAACAACTGAAGTACCCATCATTTATGAGAAACGCCAACAACAACGTAACTATACCAGTCTTGTATTGCACACATTTGGGAAAATTAAGAAACCTAATCAACTTAACATTTTTAGACGTAACAGTTTTTACAGAACCATGCATTTGTTAAGTTATTGTGGTAAAGAATGTACTGAGACTTTGCTTTATTTAATGTGAGGAAAATATAATACGTCGTGAATACGTTTGCGTAACAGAAAACACAATTTATTTAAATTTGAAATGGGGAATGTAGGCTTTAAGGACATCTTTGTCTGTTTTATGTTAGCATTATATTAGTCAAAGGTTTGAATTTGCAGGAGAAAACCTGAACTTATAAATGTCAGTAAGGGATTCCTATTTGTATCTGTTAGGTAGGCCTATCAACAATTAAGTGCCAAAGTCACACTTTAACAAATAGAATAATAGAAGAAAGGATAAAAGATGAAATCACCAGTGACAACTTAGAAAAGTTGATTTTAAAAGAAAAGAAAAAAGTCCAAAATATTTGTTAAGTTTGATTTTGAGTAATAATCATATGCTGGCCTTCTTTTTTTTTAAAACATATTGGAATGTGTAAATGGAAAACAATGTAATGCAAATATCCAGATGATCCACTTTTCTTTTCACTATCTATGTTTAACATCAAGCTTTACCCTTAAAATGTACAGCTCAAATGAAAACCTCTCATTGTATATATGGGAACGTAACTTTATAGTGAATGTTCTATATGTCAAGCAGAATACATTCAGGAATGTGCGTCCAACCACGGCCAGCTACACACAGAGTTAGCAGCCAAATGTGGGGTGTGGGGGGGGAGAGTTGAACATAAACAGTAGAGCAGGCATATATCATCACATGAGAACAACCTCGATGAGTTTCAAATGAACCCAAACTTAACTGCTGTTACGGTTTTTCTCGATTGCTAACACACTAAAATTATACATGAAGCACAATTATTTTAACTGACACTCAAAGAGCAAAACATCTGCTCAAATCTCCAAAACTCTAAACACGTTTTCAGCTTTTCACACAATTTGCAAATCAACATGGCACTTTTCGCAAACCACTGCACACGTTTCTCCACGTAAGACACAGGAATCTAACATAAAGTCACGTGTTAGCAGGTTTAGAACACTGATATTCAAAATGCCTCACACATGGACCAATCATCAAGAAACACGTTCCACCTGACCAAACACCTGAGAGCATAATTGTTGGCTCATCAATCAGGATGTTAGCGCTATACAAAGACCCAGCAACAATGGAAGCCAACATGGAAGCAAGAGCAAGAGGAAGAGGAAGAGCTGGGCTGAGAGTGAGAGGAGGATGAACGAGACGTAGAGGTAGAGCTGGAGGGAGAGGACGCGGACAAAGAAGAATACTCTCTAATAAAATGAAATGTTATCAACCATGGTTTGACGATGAGAGAGGACGTTCAGAGGGTTCAGCCTAATCTAAGCCGATTTACTGTTGCCTCTGTAATCCGGACACTTAGTCTTGAAAACAGGTTAGTTACCAGTTTTTAGCTCTAAACAATTCATGATATATCAGTGCTTATATCTGTTGTGTGAAACGTATTGACTTCATTACTGTAATTGAATTGTTAGCATGTTGCATGACTGTACAAAAATCCTGCACAATGTACTGTGGTAAACGTACTTTTATGCAACACAGACCAACCACTATATCTTTGTTGTTTATCTGAAGGTACTGAGAAACAAAGAGGTGCAGGTGGAAGGCCAAGGATGTTCAATGAGGCACAGGAAGCAGCAGCTACAAACTGGGTTTTGGCAAACAATGCCATCACACTTAGAGAGATCCGAAGCATAGTAGCTATGTGCTAAGATGCATGTTGCACAATGTGATTTTTGCATAAAATGTGATTTGTTTTCAAC